TCTGTGCAGCTCTTTTCATCTTGTAAAACTAAAACTATACCTTTAAATGATGGGTCCCCAGTCCTCTGTCTTCTCAGCTCCTAGCAACCACTGTTCATTGTTTGGACTACTCGGGTGTCTCATAAGTGAAATCATAAAGCTCTGTCTCGTGACCGGCTTATTTGACTTACCATGCTGCCTACAAATGCATTTATACATATAATACAGTTCACTTTTCACTAGGCATGTTGTTTCATGCCTGGAATCCCAGCAGTTGGGAAGCTGAGGTAGGGGGATTACCTTAAATTCAAGGCAAACCTAGGCTTCAGTATAAAACCCTGCTTCAAAGAAAATAAAAATAGAAAAAAAATTTCCTTATTTTTAGAAGGTAGACTTTGTCTATCCATACCTCCATGGCTGACACTAAGCTGCTTCCATGTGTTCACTGTTGTGACCAGAGCTACTTTGTTTTTTTGTTGTTGTTTTGTTTTGTTTTTCGAGACAGGGTTTCTCTGTAGCTTTGGAGCCTGTCATGGAACTGGCTCTTGTAGATCAGGCTGGTCTCGAACTCACAGAGATCCGCCTGCCTCTGCCTCCCAAGTGCTGGGATTAAAGGCATGCACCACCACACCACTGGTTACTTTGAACATGGGTGTGCAAATGCCTTTTTGAGCCTATGCCTTGCTGCTTTGGGGTGTATACTCAGAAGTGCAATTGGTATTTTATCTAAGTTGCCCAGGCTGATGTTGAACCAGTAATTTTTCTGCCTCAGATTCCTGGATGCTAGAATTGTATGCCCATTGCCACCATGCCTGATTAGTTTTCTTCTTTTGAGGAACTTTCCACAGTAGCTGGTTCATTTTATGATGCCAGCAACAGTATGTGAGAGTTCTTTGTCTACATCCTGATCTCCACGTTTTCTGTTTTGTTTTTCCTTTTTTTTTAAAAAGATTTATTTATTATGTATACAACTTTCTGCCTCCATTTATACCCACACACCAGAGGAGGGCACCAGATCTCTTTACAGATGGCCTGGAGCCACCATGTGGTTGCTGGGAATTGAACTCAGGACCTCTGGAAGAGCAGACAATGCTCTTAACCACTGAGCCATCTCTCCAGCCCCTTGTTTTTCCTTTTTTGAGACAAGGTCTCACTAGCTAGCCCAGGCTGCCCTTGAGCTTGTGATTTCCCATGCAACAGCCTCCCAAGTGCCAAGATTACAGGTATGTACCTCACATTGGCTTTTTCTCTTTTGTTTTGTTTTTTAATGATATCTCGTCATTGGGATGTTATACTGTGCCTGTAAACCTTATTTTTTCTTCTTTAGTTCTGAGACTAATTCCCCTTGAGTTAGTGGGCTTGGAATGACAATACTTGAAAGACTAGAGGCAGAGTTGTGAATAACATTGTTTAGCTAATTTTTTTATTTCGGTCAAATGCAATGGTCTGCAAAAATGTTTGAAATTAAGGAAATAAATGTCAGCCTAGCTAAGCCTTTTCCTCTCCTTCATCATTTTTCATTCCTGGCACCCATTGTTGATTGTAATTCTTCATTGCAAGTGTTGGATTAATGTCTTAGTTTGGCTGTCATTAGTTTGATAATGGGATAATGAAAGTTGGTGCTATATTACTGTCTTAAATATGTCAATCTAGTTGAACTTAGAAAGAAATTTAAAAGGGGCTTTGCCTGTGATACTTGCTGAAATGGACTGAGGTCTTGATTCTCACACCCTTGGTAAGCAAAAGTTGACGAGCTGAATTGCAATTAATAAATACTATATTGCAGATACTGTCATTGTCCTCAGCACTGGTTCTAAAGGAGTGAAGATCTGGGGTGAATAGGAAGGTGATAGGTTTTGTCAATTTTTCCTTTTCTGCAGTGTGTCACAAACTTCTATTTTATTATGGACTTTTTTAGATTTGGGTTAGTAGACAAGACATCCTTTACTCTAGGGCCACTTTGAACAAGGGCCTTCCATATGGCCAGCACTGCCCTTCACATGGGAAAACCTTCTGAACTGATATTTTAAATGTTAAACAAGTTTTTGTAGTTAAAACTTTTTAGTGTTATTCTTTCCTGTAAATCTTTCCTCAGCATATGTGGTAGTATATACCTGTGGTCCCAGTGCTCCAGGGTTGCGACAGAAGAGTGGCAAGGGTAACTTTTTTGCTACTTTATCTACTTTGAGTAAGAAAATATTCAATTTGGAAAACAGCTAAACCAATGCCATTTGAATCTTTGAAACAGATCCTATCAGAATTGGATGACTGAGTGTAAGCCTTAGTAGCATGCCCGAGGCAGTCTTTGCATGCTGTGTAGCTGGTGGCCAGTGGGAACATACTCTGTACAAGAGTCGGACCATCTGTTTTTCTAGAAAACTTGCAAGCTTTGAAAGGTGTCAGTGGTTGTCCCTGGAAAATGTTCTTTTCTTCATTTGTAGAATTAGAAAGTCTCCTTTGCTCTCCAAGCTCTTTAATAGTTAGCTTCTGGAATCTTCTTCCTCAGGCTCAGAGCAGTGTAGAGACCGATGGAACTGCTTGCTGCCTATGCTTAGTGCTTTGGAGGGGTGTGTCCCGGATTGTGGGTCACTTTCTTTTTTGAGTCTTGCTGCTGTCTGGCAGCATCTGAGGACTCCAGCTGCCATGGGCTCCACTGGACTATTTCAGCATTGCGCAGCTGTTCCCAGTCTGTAAGTTCCCTTTAGACATGATGAAAAGCAGCTAAGTGTTTCTGAGTTCCGAGAGCTGCACTCTGGTGTTTCTGGGAGCTGAGGAGCATGTGGTTGGAGAAAGCGGCAGTGGCATAAGAATAGCATGTTCACTGGCCGTCCCTGTGAGTGGGTGCTGTCAGGAGCAGAGGAGCTCTTGATTGTACAGGACTCTGGTTGCAGGTTTTTTAAACAGGAGTGTTATTACCTGAGTTTGGATATATAAAAGATAGTCTTTTAACATTATTTCAGAATTACAAAAGAGTTTTAAGAGTTATCATATAGCCTTAATTGCAGCATTGGGGACCAGAGGCAGGTAGGGCTCTGTGGCTTAGAAGTGTGCCTGGTGTACATAGTGAATTCCAGGACAGCCAGGACTACAAAGAGAGACCCTGTCTCCAAATTTATATATATTAAAACAAAACAAAAACTCCAAACTACTTTCACCCGATTCCTCAAATGCTAATGTTGGCTTTATACTTCACTCTTAATGCTGAACTGGTTGCTCCACACCGCTCATGATGTTGGCATTTTTTAAGACCTGGAGGCTACTTGTCATGTTTGTCTTCCCTGGCTGTTTTTAATTGGCTTGTATGATGCTTGATTTCCCCGAAACATTGAGGTCTGATTACAGAGACCAAGGAAGTAAGTAAGGTTCCTAGAGGAGTTGGGGAAGAGGCCCCCAACCATCTCTGACTGCGCATCCTGGCAGAGGGAGAAGTGTGGTGGCAGCTGGCTTGCAAGCACACAGTCACCTACTCTCCTTCCAGCCTTTCTCCGCCTGCTGTGTATGTGGTGTGCTTGTATCCTGGTGGACACCGGAGTACAATATTGGTGTCCTATCGCTCTCCACCTTACTTTGTTAAGACAGGCTCTCTTTGAACCTAGAACTCACTGTTTATTCTGCTGGACTAACCACCCAACAAGCTACAGTCAAACCTGACTTTTACATAGGTATTGGGGATCTAAACCTAGGTCCTCATGCTTGTACAGCTCTTGTCCGCTGAGCCATTTCTCTAGCCAGTCCATCTCCTGTGCTCTTGTTCAGGGTTATGTTTCAGTAAACAAGGGGTTATTGTCTCTGAGCTTTAAAACTTTACATATATATACTACGTGTTGGATTCTCACACACACCATGTGATGGTCAGAGGACAGATAGTGAGAGTGGGTCTTGCCGACCTTGTGGGTTCCAGGGATTGAATTCAGGTCATCAGGCTTGACAGCAAGCATTCTTACTCACTGAACCATCTCCAAACCCTCCCTGGCCAAGACTTTTTAGATCTTGTTTATCATTTCATAGATTTCTTTACTTGTTCTATGTACAGTGTTTTAACAATAAAGTAGTCTTTTTTCTTAGTACAATCTCTCCCTTGTAAAGCCCAGAGGTGAGGAGGGTGCTGCCAGGCAGTCCAATTGCCAAACTGGACTCTTGCTTCTGCTCCTGTTAGCTGTGACCTGTGTGAATAACTCCTGCCGCTAACCTTCCTGCTTAGACCCTTCGTGAGGGTGAATGGACTTAGGTCAGGGATTTAACGTGTGTCTGTCGCTGTCCTGAGTGACTGCAAATGATTGATTATGACACGCTTGCCTTTTCAGAACTGCTTTTACTTATTGACTTCAGATCCTATTTCAGTCAGGAAATGATACATATAATGGGAGTATTTCTATGACGACCTTTAATTTCCCATCTTGTAGGTTGGTGGCTTTACAGTTAGTCACTACTGATGAGATCAGTTTTCTCCTTTGCTGATCCAACAACTTTTTCTCTCTAGGAATGGGATCTGTTGGGAGAGGTACTGACTGAGCTGATTTGATTCTAAATATTAAGGAAGTGGGAGTGGCAACAGGAAATGGGAGCCAACAGCTTGGAAACAAGTTTGTAACTTGATGTCAGTGAACTGGCTCTTGCCCCTGAAGTTACATGTAACTTGTTGGAAGAGCAAGTGTCTGGCCATTTTGTTTCAGTTTTTCCATTTGTCCATGATCTGCAGCTGTTCAGAGCTATAACACATTTGGCAGTAATCCAGTAAGCATGCATTTATTTTTAAAATACTACATGGATATTCAAATTTACTAAATGCCCTAGATGTAATAAAGATCCTGCCACATAAACTATGAACTATAAATTGTTTAACCTAAAAGATTACAGTGGGTAAGCCTTCTTTTTCTCTAATAATTTAAGCATATTCTTTAACACAGCATAAGCATAGTACACAGCAAATAATCCTTGCTGTTGCCTTAACATTGTTGAAGTTATTTTAATATGTTAACTTAAAAAGAAGTCTCACTTCTGATTACTCTTGTGTATTTAAGCCAGTGAAGAAAAAGAAGATAAAACGAGAGGTTAAGATTCTGGAGAACCTTCGTGGTGGAACAAATATCATTAAGCTGATTGACACTGTAAAGGACCCTGTGGTAGGTGCCTGGTGGCTGGGGAGTGTTTTAGTGGATTGGGGTGGGGTGTTTAACACCCAGGGCCTTGTGTGGTACTGCATAACGGACTGATGACACTGGTATTCATTGGTAAATGGGCTTAAAAACCATACAACTGTCATGGCCCAGTGATGAGCTAGCTACCACCACTAAATGCAGTCTATGTACAGAGAAAAACCTTGCCTCAATTTGTTACCTGTTATTGCCTGTTTCTTTGATTTAGCTCCCTGAAGCATCTCATTGCCAGTTTACACTATCTTACCTCACTAGTAAGCCTGGTATTGGGGATGTCTTTGTTGATTCTAGTGTAGAAAACTAAACAGGTCCTAGACTACCAGTCCTTTGAGAGAGAAGCCTTGCTGTTTCATATCTTTAGTTCCGCATCCACCACAAGGAGCCTCATGGTGTGTATGTACAACTAGGAATATATGCATACTTTTACAACTAAAATGCTTAGTTTGGGACAGGATGGCTCACTAGGTACAGGCACTTGCTTCACAGGCCTGGTGACTAGCATTTGATCCCTAGAAACCACATTAGGGTAGATAGAACCTAATCCAGAGTTGACCTCTGACTTGTGTGTGCCGACATACACACATGCACATAACATATTCCCAATAATAAAAAATTAAGAAACATATAAAATAACTTTTGACCTATTTTCAGGGTTCTGTTTTAACCTTTGTTTCCTTACCCTAGGGTAAAGTGACAGTATTTGATTGACTAAGCTTCCATCCTTGCAGAACCCACTTTGGTGCCACTTGTATTGTGTTTCTGTTGTCTATCTGCTTTATGTGAAATTATTTCCCTGTTCTCTGTGGCAGTTTTACATCAGCTTATTAAGAACCAGGGCTTTGCTTCTGTATGCTGAGGACATCCTCATCATTTAATTGCTAGACTGAGTGACAGCTGTAGGCTAGGCACTGTGCCGAGTATTTAGCTGTATCACACCTTTCAATCCCCACAGTGATTCAGGGAGACATTATACTGTAAGAAAACAAAAGTCTACAAAGGCTAAGTAATTTGCCCTGCTGAACAGTAATATAGGATAAGAAAAGATTTTCCTTTTGGGCCCTGATCAAGACTGAGAAGGGGTGATTATATACTAAGTTACAATTGATTTCATAAATAATATATCCCATTCTGTTTAATTCAGATTAGCCCTGAACTACATAATGTTTGAGTTTAGAATTATTTGTCCACTTACATACATACATACACACTATATATATATATATATATATATATATATATATATATAGTCTTAGTGTTCGAGGTAAAAATGGGTATTGTCCATTTAAAGAACACAGAGAGAATGTGAATTGGGGGTATAGCTGAGTTGTTATGTGCCCGTTAGCCTGAATGAGCCCTAGTTTTGTTCCCTAGAAATGCATAAATTAGGCAAGGTAATGTTTGCCTATAATCCCAGCACACAGAAAATAGAATCAGGTTGATCAGAAGTTCAAGGTCATTCTCAACTACTAGGGAATTTAAGGCCAACCTGAGCTAGAGACCCCTGGTGGTGCAACCAGACTTCAGAAGCTGTGCTAGGGACTTGCATATGGTAGACAAATTGTATATGTGTCCCCTCTTTTTATCTCCCCCCCTCGCCTCTTCATCTCACCTCTGTTAGCTAAACTTACTGATATCTGACTTAATGTTTGTAATTTCTGTGATACCTGAGTTAAGCAAAAAAAAAAAAAAAAGCAGGGCTTGGGAGCTGTCTCAGTGGTTAAGAGTACATGTTATTTTCCAGACAGCCCGAGTTTTATTCCCATCACCCATGTCAAGAGACTAAGAACCACCTGTAATTCCAGTTTCAGAGGGATCAGACACTTGGCCTCTGAATGACTGCACTCACATGCACAGAGCAGACATACATATTTGCCTAATACATCTGTTTTTGAGTAGTGTAGGTGGAAGTAGAAAGGGAATCTTAGCCCCTGAATTTGAGAGGGTCAGGCTTACTTAAATCTGTAGAAAGGTCAAATTCTTGAGGACAGTGTTAGACACATTTGTTTTTGGTGCTGCTTGGACTCTATTGCCCAGGTAAAGATGAGTGTGTGTGCGTGCACATGTGCGCATATGTGCACGAGTTCTTGCACACATTCTCACTGTGGCCCACTTCGTAAGAACCTATGATTTGTCCTTGAGCTAAAGTTTTAGCAGTAAAGATTTTTGAGGTGAATTTTTATTTCTATCACCCTTAAAACCCATGCTTTTCTCCCAATTCTGAAACATCATTTCTACTTATTAGTGTGATTTTATTTCTCCTGAGTTAACCTGACATTTGAAGCTCTAGATTTTAAAAGGAAGTTACTTAACTAAACATTTACTACCTGGAGCGCATGTATTTGGAGGCCAGAGTCTTCTCAGTTTGGCTGCTCATCAAGCTTCTGGAATCTTCTTGTCTCCATCTCTTGGGGATTATAATAGCCAGCTTTGACATGGATGCTGAGGATTTGGACTCAGGGCCTCTTTGCCTTCACAGCAAGTGCTCTTACCCACTGAGAAGTCTCTCTAACTATAGTGCTTTTAAAAGTTGGATTATTAAGAAAAAAAAAAAAAAAGAAAGAAAAGAAAAAGTTGGATTATAGACATTCACCTCTGAACCCAGCCCAGGTGATCTTTTAGGAGCCTACAAAGATTTAATAGAGTATGAAAACTGTGTCAGATGCAACTTGTTTGCTAAACCAAGATCAAAGTGTGCAATACCTGATGCAGATGGCAACTTGGCATATTGTTGGCTGTAAGTCTTAATAAAATCACTAATGGGTTTCTCAGGGCTGCTGCTGGGTCATTCTGGGAATATCTTGCTCTTTAAAACTTTACATAGAGGGCTGGAGAGATGGCTCAGTGGTTAAGAGCACGGTCTGCTCTTCCAGAGGTCCTGAGTTCAATTCCCAGCAACCACATGGTGGCTCCAAACCATCTGTAAAGAGATCTGGCGCCCTCCTCTGGTGTGTGGGTATAAATGGAGGCAGAAAGTTGTATACATAATAAATAAATCTTTAAAAAAAAAAAAAAACTTTACATAGACACAGATGTAAACAGTACATATTGAGCTTCCTGTGCATGACTGAGCAGTGTTAACCTTCGTTTCATGCCAGCTATAACCCTGCCTCTCCTACCTCCCACTTTCCCCAGTTACTTTGCAGCAACCCAGACATCATAAATACTTGAAAATCAAACAACAAAACAACAAACAGGTTTTTAGGGAGAAATTGCTCAGCACTGATGAGGGTGCATGCTGCTCAGCCGGAGGGGCCTGAGTTCAGATTCCAGACTCATTTCAGATCCTCACGACCTCCTAGTACTCCAGCTCCAGGGTGTCTGATACCCTCTTCTGGTCTCTTTAGTGATGGATGCACACAAGCACAAAAATAAATAACAAATCTAAAAAAACACAGGCAGTCCCTAATGAGAGAATCCTTTTTGTCTGTGAGGTTTGAGGGTGGGCCAATACAAACTGCATTTATTACTGTCTGAGTATCTAAAAAGAATCACTGTTCTCTCTTTCAGTCAAAGACACCAGCTTTGGTATTTGAATATATCAATAATACAGATTTTAAGGTGTGTATGCTTCTTTTTGGCATGGGGTTCACAGGGGTTGGAGGTGGTAGGGTGGGTACTGCTTGAACTTCAAAGCAGTCAGGGATGATGTTGGTGAATCAGATGGCAGCTTGGATCCCAAATATTGCAAATCTTTGGGGTTCTTGAATTTGGAGGAGTCATTGCCTTTTGACTTGCTTTCTCAAGGAGTTAGCTGCACTATCGAATCCTCTCAGCTGTAATAAGAGATGTAATGCCTCATCTATTACACATCTGTTTTATACAGCACAGTTTTAGTGTACATTAACTTTGATTTTCATGAGATCTACCCTTGCTGGTAGGGAAAGATAATGGATACAGAGCTTAAGTGGAAGGAATCCTTAGATTGAAGCTGCTAAACATGTGTTCATACACACTGTGTCCAAAGCAGTTGATACAAAAACCTACTTCAGTCGCTGTTGTCAAAGAACCCTGTTCTGGGGTATTTACACTTGGTATGGTTTTTAGTGACAGGTTTTCTTTGTGTAGCCCTGGCTGTCCTGGAACTCACTCTGTAAACCAGGCTGGCCTTAAACTCATGCTGCCTCTGCCTCCCAAGTGCTGGGATTAAAGGAATGCACCACCACTGCCTAGCTATATACTGAAGTTTTTAAAGATAGGTTTGATTTAACTCAGGTTGGCCTCAGACTTTATCCTTCTACCTCAGGCTCCTGAGTACTGAGATTACAACTGTCTTCCAGTGTTTCCAGCTGAAATATTCTTTTATTTTTTATTTTTTTAATATTTATTTATTTATTATGTATACAATATTCTGTCTGTGTGTATGTCTGCAGGCCAGAAGAGGGCACCAGATCTCATTACAGATGGTTGTGAGCAACCATGTGGTTGCTGGGAATTGAACTCAGGACCTTTGGAAGAGCAGGCAATGCTCTTAATCACTGAATCATCTCTCCAGCCCTAAAATATTCTTTTAAATGTTTTAAACACTGAGTTTTGAACCATCCTAGCCCAGGTTTGCCTGGAATTTATTATAGCCTTTCTGTCTTAATCTGCTGAGTACTAAAATAAGCAGCCATGTGCAGCTTTAACTTGGTTCATGGATTGGTTTAATTGTAATAAAAAAACATGAACCTACTAATGAGGTTTCTGGTGTTAAGATATGCAAAGAGAAAACCTTTTTTAGAACATAGTTTGATATGAAAAAAAAAATAGTGATGTTGATTTCCAGGGGTATGAGAAGACTTGAGGGTGGTTACAGCTCTGGCAAGGAGTCAGACACTTGTGAGTTTGTTGAGCTAGAAGCTAGAAATAAAACCATCTTGTCAAGTTGCAGGTTTCCAGTATCCCTGCTGCAGGCGAAATGAAATAACCGTATTTGCACGTATAATTTTCTTAGGTGCTATCTCTAAGGGTATCTAATGAAAAGTAAGGAGAGAAGATGCATCTACTTAAAATGAGTAGTAAGTTTTAAATATACCTAATGCAGCCTTTCTTGTACGTAACAAATACTTTATTATAACTCCCTTACAAGTAAAATCAGTGTGGCTTTAGCATTTTGTGTTTCTCAGAGGGTGGTGTCTGCCAGGTGTTGTATCAGTGTTCTTTGGGAGTTGACAGGAAATCTAACATCATAGGGAACCTGTTTCTCTGGGATCTGAATCCTTAAAGGAGGTGTTCTGAAGACATGATGCTCTAATGGATGCTTTTAAAGGAATTGTGGAGCTCAGTGGTTTTGAGACTTGGATATCTGAGAACATCTTTTATCCCCACTTATGTCTTCACCGGGATATAATTCTACATTGAGACTCATGATTTTCTCAGTTTTGAAACGTTTGTTCCAGTGGTAGCACTAGAGCCCCTCCTGTTTGATCTTACAGATTTTTCTTTTCTTTTTCTGGACGTGTTGAGGAATTTCTCTCCATTCTCAGTCTTCTGAATGTTCAGACATGTGCCTTCCTGTGGGCTTCTTTCATCCTTTGTTGTGCATCTTGCTGGGCCTTTTCCATCTGAAAGCCTTCCATAGTGTCAGTGTTCTTTGATTTCTCACCCCTCTCTTGTTCTTGCTGTCTAGAATATAATTCAAATGTTAGGCTTTGTATTTTAGAAGTCCGTTTCAGTCTCTGAATTTTTAAAAATAGTGTCCTGTTCTCTTATGCTTTATGTAATATCTGTTTTCTCATAGAGAGATTGCATTTTCTCCCATGCCTTTCATCTTTTTCTCCACAGTTTTGTTGTTTGGCTCTGTTAAGTTGCCGCTCCTGTTCTGGAGTGGTGCTCTGAAGGGCATCGTTCTCTTGAGAGTCTCCAGTAGAGTGTTGTTGGTACGTTACCTCACAGCTGCCCTGTTTGCAGCCTGCTGTTTGCTCTCTTTCAGAGATAGTGGCTCTGTTCATTTCTGGGCCTTTCTGTTCTTCTTAGTTTGAAGCTCTGTGCTTATGGGTACCTCACTGTTGGCCAGATTTCGAGCTTTTTAGTTTGTTAAGTCCATGAACACGTTTTCTGGCTTCAAACTGTTGTCCCTCTCACTGTAGTTCTGGAGTTCATCCCTCCCAGGCCTGTGACTGCTTTACCTTAATAGGACCTTCAGGTGAAGCAGAGGGGTGAGAGTCCCTTTGAATGCTGAGCCATGCTATTTGGTCATCCTAAAACAACACTAAATATCAGGTAGCATGTGTGTTTTGGTAGGATGAATGATGGCGCTTAGATATGGCAGGTCACAAATGGGCACTCTGTTAGTGTTTATTCTGTGCCTAAATGGGAAGGTTCGGTTTTCCTTTTCATCTTTTTCTCTTTTAGTGTGAAATGCATTAATAGCTGACTTTAAAGTACTATCCGAAGAGTGTTTGTTCTCATTGAATGTCAGGGTGACGTGGCTTATGTTGTGGCTTGGTGATGGGTGTTCACCTAGCACTGATGTCCCTCGCATGCACAGGGCCTTAGGTTCCATCACTATCACTACACAGCAAAACAAAAGCAGCAATGCAGCGGACACACTTGGTTGGTTTGGGGCCTTTTTTTGGGGGGGGGGGAATCAGTTGACAGTTTTAATCTGTAAATTTTCTTTCATTATGCAGACATCTTACTTTGGTATCTAGGTTATATTATGTTTGTAAAATGAGTTTAGGAGCCGGGTGGTGGTGGTGCACTCAGCACTCAGGAGGGAGAGGCAGGAGGATCTCTGTGAGTTTGAGGCCAGCCTGGTCTACAAGAGCTAGTTCCAGGACAGGCTCCAAAGCCACAGAGAAACCCTGTCGGGGGGGGGGGGGGGGGGGGGGGGGGGGGGGGGGTTTAGGCAGCTTTTCTTCATTGTAGTCTCTGAAAGTGTATATACAGTGTGTAAATCTAGGCAGCTGTCTTCCTGCCTAACTTCTTATTTGTTAGTGTTAGGTGATAGGTTTTGAGTTAGAAATGCAGATTTTAAACTAGCAGGTTAAGGGGTTTCCTCCCAGACTTTCTGCACAATGTCCACCTATCAGCCTGTTGATTGGCCACTCAATGTTTTTGATGCCCTTGCTGTTGTTAAATCTGTCTTTCCCTCTCATTGCTAGGTTCTTTTTTTTTTCCTCTTAAGTCGTCTTAGAGTTAGTTGGACATTACCATACTTGGTTCTTGAATGTGCTGTTAATAGAATCTGAGTGTGTTTCTGTGTTCCTCACAGTATCCAAGAAGTTTAGGTAGTTATACTGTAATCCATCTACTATCATGGCCTTTTTTAGAACTTTCTCAGTTACTGTTGTCCCCATAATGTCTTTAGAGCTGTATGTGTGTGAGTATATGGTTCAAGATCAACTGGGCTTTTCAGAAATTCTTATATTATTGACTCTTAATTTATTTGTATTTGTATCCAGAAAACATGTTCTATCCAGGTTTTGCATCCCTAGTCTACAAGTCTTATCACCCCACAAAGTAGAGAAGGGGAAGCTTTTTTCATGACCAGAACTATTTAAAATATTGAATGAACTGAATGTGGTGGTACATGCCTTTAATGTCAGCACTTGGGAGGTAGAGACAAGTAGATCTCTGAGTTTGAGGCCATCTAGGGATACATAATAAGACACTGTCTCCAAAAAGAAAAAAAAGGTTTGAACTTACCTTTGTTCTGTGTATATGAATATATGAAACACAAATGGATTTTGGATTTTGTTCAGATGTGGCTGGGGTATCTAATCCTATCCTTCAGAAGGCAGAAACCAAAAGGATTGGGAATTTGAGGTCAACATGATACCCTATTTCAAAAAATAAAATACCCCCAAAACAAACCATAAATGAATTAATTGGTCTCATCACCAAAATACTTAATTATTTTTATGCAAATATTCTAAGAAGTAAAAAATAACCAACATTAGAAACAGGGTGGTGGTTGTGCATGCTTCTAATCCCAGCACTCAGGAGGCAGAAGCAGGGAGATCTCTGAGTTCAAGGCATGTTTGATCTACAGAGCAAGTTCCACGACAGACAGGGATACATAAAGAAATCCTGTCTTGAAAAACAAACAACTTTTGGTCACAAGCACCACAGATACCTAGCCTGTACAGTGCTGACTATTTGGAGCCTGTTGATGTTTGCTTTGTGATTCTAATGTGGGTCATGTTTTAAACCCTGATGGTTCCTTACTAATTTTTCGCTAGTGTTACATTTCATGATAGAGGTACTAGTTTGGTGTTTCCCTTTAAAAAACCATCAGATTTCTGTATGTCAAAGTTAAACAGTAAAAGAAACATAGTGTCCCTTAAAAAGACAAACTTTAAAGGGCGGGGGAGGGGGGGCTGTCCCTAAGAGTTAGAGTAATTACTTAACAGCACACTTCTCAACTTGAAAGTGTCCAGTGAGAGTCGGGTGTGGTGGCACACACTTGTATACAATCCCAGTGCTTGGGAGACTGAGATAGGAGAATTCTAAATTCAAGGCCAACCTGAACTAATAGTGAGTTCCAGGTCAGCTTGAGCGCCATAGGAAGACCATGTCTTAGAACAAGTCTAAAGGAAAAGGTATCAGTTGAGATGCCAGTTATCTGTGCATTAAGAATGTTATAAATTAAAATTTGTTCTAGTTCCGTAAATTTCCAAACAACACTGTTTTGTTTTTTCGGTTTTGAAGGTTACTTGTTAGCAGTATCTAAATTGGTGGCTACAACATGAAATAATGCTTATCTTTGGCTTTATATATCCCCTCCTTTTTGATCTTCCTCCATTTGAACCCTGAGATTTCTTGGTGTATGTTGAAATAGGAGCGGTGGGGCTGCGTCCCTAGCACCCCAACTGCCTGCTAGCTTATGCCCGAAATAACAACACACAAACTGTATTAATTTAAACACCGCTTGGCCCATTTCTATCTATCCTCTTCTCGGCTAACTCTCACACCTGGACTAGCCCATTTCTAGTAATGTGTGTAAGCACCCCAAGGTGCGCTTACGGGGAAGATTCTAACCTACGTCCATCCTGGGTCTGAGCTGCATGGGAGAGCAGAGCCTGGCCTCTCTGTCTGAGGCATCTGGCTCTGAGAGGAGCTGCATTTCTTGTGACCTCACTTCCTCTTCCTCCCAGCATTCTCTTCTGTTTACTCCACCCACCTATGTTCTAACCAATAAAATGGGCCAAGCCAGTTTCTTTATTAGCCAATGACCTTCCTCCATCAGGTGTATACTGAGCTGTGTATACTCGCTCTGCGTTCTCATACTTCTTATATCTGTGCTCTTGAGTACTGGATCAGAGTCCATAGAAAATGAAGTCCTCTTGAATTGTAGCCATTAGGCAAGAACACAGTATGACTGACTGTGACAGTTCCCCAGAGTCTTTGAAGTTACGCATTCATGCATGCAGTAGGAGTAAGTGAGGCCCGCTGTGGTGATTCCTTGGATGTTTGTACTTGTGCATAGGAGACATCAAGCCTGGTTATCAAGTTGCATTGTCTGCTATTCTCCTCTTCACATGTTGCAGGGTTTATTTTAAAAGTCAAAGACATATTCAACCAGGCTCATTAGATTACTCCTGTAGTAGAACTGATTTTTAGGGAATCACCAGTGTGTTTGAGGCTTTGCAACTGACCTGAATAGGTAAGTCGTTTCTTCCTTACTACCTTTATAAACTTTATTTGTGAGTGAGTATAAATCAGACTTGTAGAAATTAGTTCTTTTTTGTACCATGTGGGTCCTAGGGATGTAACTCAGGTTGTTGGGTGTGGTAGCAAGTGCCTCTACTTGTGAGACCATAATCTTCTGGGGAAACAACTTGGTTTGTTTTTGGTAAGTCTCTTATGCAAATGTGAGCAAAGCGTTTTCCTGCCAACAGTCTGCAGTTGCTTAGTTAATAATATTCTCTGCATACCTGGAAGGAAAATGTGCTTCTTAGGAAGTTTCCCTTTGTAATTTCACATGAACTCTGCTAGTTCTTGAAAGCTAGGTCTGTTTCAGTCACTAACTGGTAAGCATTATAAGAGCGAGTGGAGGAGCTAGACATGCTGTCCTGCTGTGAGGGCTTGACTTAAGAGTTTGGTGGAGACAGTGGGTGTAGGATACAGCTTTGCAGTGCATTCATGACACTTGGGAAGGTGGGAAGACTTCAGAGATCCTGAATCACCACAGTAGTGACCATCAGCTGGCAGCAGCTGCTTTCCTTATATATACATAGCTAGTTATTCGGGCAACACTGGCATAGGACTCTAGGCAGGTAGCAGGTTCGCGGTTACTACAGTGAGGATTTACCTTCAGAACTCAGCTCCCTACCAGTACCTGGTGCTAATTCTAGGGACCCTGAGAGTCTCACTATGCTGTGAACAAACACCCTAGAGCAGTGGTTCTCAACCTCTGTAGGGTCCCATATCAGGTATTTACATTACCAATCATGGTAACAGTAGCAAAATTAAATTATGAAGTAGTAAAGAAATAATTTTATGATTGGGAGTCACCGCAACATGAAACAAATGTATATGAAAGGATTTTAGCATTAGGATGGTTGAGAATCACTGCCCTAGAGGGAAAGCATGACCTAGGGTTTAAAGAAGGATGAGACCCATTTCTGTGTAGAAAGCTGAGGCGGTGGTTTGGAGAGGATCTCTGAAAGGGGGCAATGGAGGAGCAGATACCTGTTGGTGTCTCAGAGAAGGTGATTCCTGAAGTCTGCGATGGAGATTGGAGTAACAATTAGAGGAAACCAGGTTGGCCCTTGAAAAGGACTTTTTTTTTTTTTTTTTTTTTTTTTTTTTTTTGGTTTTTCGAGGCAGGGTTTCTCTGTAGCTTTGGAGCCTGTCCTGGAACTCCCTTTGTAGACCAGGCTGGCCTTGAACTCACAGAGATCCGCCTGCCTCTGCCTTCCTAGTGCTGGGATTAAAGGCGTGCGCCACCACCGCCGGGGCCCTTAAGGACTTAATCATAAGCACAGGTGGTTACTTGGTCCAGATGTAGTTTAATCTTAATCCCACCAAGAACCATGAAGAAAGGTCAGACTGACTGATGGTCAGCCATTCAGGGCTTTTTAATGGAATAGGTCCAAGCACTGTTGTGTGAGTAAATGTCTTTCATATTTAGTAAAAGTAGTACTGGTTAGAATAGTCAGGAATACTTTGCTGACAGCCTAAGGGCATTTGTTTTTATACCTTAGGTCCTTTACATGATGATTTATATAGATAGTACGTGATCCAAGAGGAAAAAGCCCTTTAGAGATAAAGGTTCAAATAAGATATCCCATATTGGTTTTTTAGAAATATAAAATATTAGCACTCTGGGGGTTTGAGAACTTGATCTTTTCTCTTTTCTGGGTTATTTCTTGACCTCATGGTTCAGTTTAGCACAGCCTCTGCGATTGATCTCTCACACCCAAGTTGGTATCTTAGATCTTTATATTCTGGTTGCCAGTTGTGATCAAGTACTAGCTAAGAAACCTGCCTTGAAGCACAGGGTTGGGAAGACAGAGACCTGGGGTTTGGTCCTTAGGAGGCTGAAACAAGTTAGTGAGTAAGTACGCTTGAGTACAGCTCAGCCCACAGGTAAGCCCCTACCCGCACAGCATCTTATGGGCCCAAGCCAGCAGTTATCTGGGGCTGAGAGAGCTACATATTCTTACTAAGCTGGAAAGGCAAGTTACTCTTCCCTATGGGGGAGGAGAGATGTGGCCTCTTCTCTACAACTGCTTTTAATCAGTTTCTTTGTCATATTTGCAGATAAGTTTCATTTTCCTGTTTATAAAATCACAGTGTTACCATTCTGTGTTCCTTGGAAGATCCCTGGGATATGTGATTCTTTTCTTTAATAAAAGAAAAGTTTAAAGTTGTTTCAATTAACTTTATTTATAGGAAACACTGCCTACATTGACAGGGAAAGGAATTTGCTTGGAACTATTGGTTACTAAAGGCAATGTATAGTGTCTGACTGCACATGTGACTCTTTAATGATCCTGGTACTCTGCTCCAAGAAATTCAAATTTATTTCAAACTCCATGAGGCGAATCTCTGGATTATCAGTAATGAAAGTTTCCTTGCGTGTGTTAGCTTGTCTTGTGGTCATGTTTGACACTGCTACCTTTTTATTTTTAACACCTTATTACATTATTCCTTTTTAAAAAAATATATCAGTTACTGCCTATGTAATCTTTTTTAGCCTGGAATTCTTGGGATCAGAGGGCATAGATTTTTGAGAAGACTCATGGCATTTTTCAAATGACTACTACTTTCTCTCTGTTTCTTTTACAAGTCATTTCATTCCCCTAACACTAGTCGGCAGCAGCTGGGGAAGGTTCCATGTGTGCTCTGAGCTGGGTGGGCTCAGCTTGATGTAGACAGCTAGACAACTTTGACTTAACAACAGCGTGGCTGTAGTTATTAGAATTCTAGAACGTTAAGTAGCAAAGATCAAATTGGCTATAGTGTTTCCCTCTCCCAGAACTCTTCTTTTTCCCCTTCTCTGCTGAAGGTGGACTGTTGAGCTCCCTCATCTTTGCCATTCCAGGTCAGGCAGTGAAGTTGTGGGTGGCCATTGTAACTAAATTTGCGGAGGAAGGCCAGCATTTAGAATAACAAATACAATCAGACTAAATTAACTTTCTGTTTTCTAAAATCTGTTTCAGCAACTCTACCAGATCCTGACTGACTTTGATATCCGGTTTTATATGTATGAACTACTTAAAGTAAGTAGCATTTGTAAACAGTACTTTAAAAAAAAATCAGGCATATTCCTTTAAGAAGTTTTTGAAAAGACAAAATTTAAGCAGAATATCTTCTGCTACCCAGAGAATCAAGTAAGGCCTAAACTTCTGATGAGAATTCTGTTGTGAGACCTCTTAGGTTTTCTTTTCTTTTCTTTTTTTTAATTTAACTTTATGTTATGTGCATTGGTGTGAAGGCGTCAGATCCTCTGGAATGGAGTTACAGACAGTTGTGAACTGTTATGCGAGGGTTGGGAATTGAACCAGGACCAGCTAAAAGAACAGCCAGTGCTTTTAGCCACGGAGTCACCTCTCCAGCCCTCCTCACAGGTTTTCAGTAAAATTTAGAAGACTGGTCAAAGGCAGGACAGGGCCGTTATACAAAGCTCACAACCCCCTGTGCCTCTTGTTGGCTGTTGAAGTTTTCCTAAGTCACTCAGACATAAAGACTTTAAAGATGGATTCTTATTGCTCGTAATCTCAGAGTTTGCCTGGTAAGTCTTTTTTAGATTCAAGTCTGCCTGACTGAGACAAAGTGGTCTGGGTTGGCCCCATTCATGTATCTTGTGATACAGGCTGACGTTGCTGGAATAGTTGATCCCGTCAGAATGAAGACCTCAATGTGTAAACACTTCAACCTGGCCTGGGCTGGTTTGCCCGCACCTGTTAACCAAAGTCAACCCCTGTGGCCAGCCCTTGATTTTAAAGGGTGTAAAATGGTTATTTCTTCGTGGGAAAGTCATAAAGAGGGATGGGTACAGAATTGGCAGTCTTTTTTTGTTTGTTTTTATCAAACTGTCTTTTAACATCCTTTCTTATATGAGAAGATCTACCCCTCACCCCAAGTGCTAGTGCTCAATCTAGGGAGAAGTGATGGGTGGACCTTCTAAATGACTTAAAAATACCAAGTACTATAAAAAAGAAAAATAGAAGCATTATCAATTGGCAAAAGAATATTTTCATTTGTCTAGGTGAACACTTGAGTAAAGCATTCTGAAAATGCTGCATGTACCTTTTAAGGTAATGAATCACTAATAACTTCATAAGAACTATGAGCTCACAGAAGTGCTTTATAAATACAGAATTGGCCAGGCATGGTGGCGTATGACTAACTCCTGGCACTGGGGAGATAGAGGCAGTGGGTCTCTTAAGTTCAATACAAACCTAATCTACATAGTACATTCCAGGCCAGCCAGAGCTACAAAGTGAGAATTCTCTCCAAAATAATAATATAAATCATAGAGTATTACAAAAACTGGGGGGGGGGGGGGGGGGATTAGATGTCAATTAAGAAAATTCCCAAGATGGGGTTTATGTGGGAACTGTGGAACATTGCTTGAACCAGGTTAGAGCAAGGCTGGACTTAGGGAGTGGAAGTTTAAAGACCTGACTCCATGAAATGAATGCTTTTCCATAGAATTGTGCTTTAATGATCTGCCTGTTCCTGGAGCCACAAGTGGTGGGCTTGAGATTCACTCCATGTCTATTGAGCTCCCTTTTTGTTGGGAAGGGTAGACTAGAGCTTGACCTGGTCCACCTTTTCTGTGTTTTCTCCAGACTAGAAGTCTAGTAGGAAGAGGTTTGCAGTCCTCCCAGAAAACCCCACACATGCACCCTTAAGAGCCACTGCCCATTTCTCAGAAGTGTTCATTTAGGTCAGTATTTAGGTTTTGTGGATTTTTAGCGAGTGCCAGCTGGACAAAGAAACTAGCACAGCTGTCCTCAGTGCTGGGGCCCTGCTACTGTCTAGTGGTAGCAGTATTCTATCTGTTCCTACTGATGAATGATCAACAGGAATTTAAAGGTGTTTTAGGATCCCCACAGGGTGTTTGGCCAGTAAGTACTGCTAAGAACTAATCACTGCTGCTTTTCCCCTCAGCCCTTGCTTCCAAGTGGCTTTCCCATCCCAGGTATTGTCTGGATTCTATCTTTGACAAAGGCTGGGTAAAATGGCGGAAACTGAGCTGGATGTTTTGTGTGACTGCTCGGTGACCGACCCTATCTCCAGGTTTCCTGTGATCTGGTTCAGATCCAGGGGCATTTGCCCACATAGAGCCTAGTTTTATAAGAAAACTGCCAAGATGGGACTTGAATGAGAACTATGAAATGAAATGCTGATTAAGCAAAATGTCAGTTTAATGAAGGCACAACAGCACGTTAGAATCTTGCTACAGCTGTTGTAAAGTAAATCTTGAGTTTCTGTGATAGTAGACTTGGTATGTATAAACCTTCAGCCAAGTGTCCTTAGATCTATGGTAGCTGTTCAAGCAAAACCTAAGAGCTCTGTTCTCTGCTCATGTGATACTGATCACTTGCCAAGTGCTTAGTGGTCTTGCATAGCTGGTGGCTACTCTACTATACAAAAAACAATGGACAAGGCTGACAGAAAAATTATGGACATCCAGAAAGTGCTCTTAGGCTCCTTCTGTCTAGTATTCCCTTCTTTGGAGATTATATCTCACCTCTATCCCCAGGTTTTATATTGTCCACTCTACAAATTCAAATTAAAAATGTCAAAGCTTGTCTGTTACTGTTGCTATAGAACAGGGAACATGTTTCTTGGCATGCTGCTTGCTTGTTCTCTGTTTAAAAACCCTCCAGCATGAAGATGCCTGGTATGGTCCTTCTTAGTCTACCACTGCAGGAGGTACTTGGTATCTAGAATTACTTTTGTTGTCACAGCCCAAGTGACACACCTGACACCTAGACCATAAGTAGATGCCATGTATTGTGCTGAATAGTCTTTAATACAGGAGGCCCCCACATGAAGAATTTTCTGGCCTCCTGAAACTTTCCTGTGCTTCTTAAGCCAAAGGATCTAACTTTGGTGTTCACAAAGATGACCTATGGTGTGTGTGTGTGTGTTAAAGAAGATTTAAGAGCTGTGAGTGGATAGGTGGGAGATATATTAGGGGTTTAAAAAAAAAAAAGCTGGGTGGGGTAATCCCAGCACTCAGGAGTCTGAGGCAGGAGAATATTGACTCTGAGGCCAGTCTGGGTACGGAGAGTGGAGGGCAGCCTGACTGAACTGTGTAGCAATGAAAAGGAAAAAGGCTTGTTAATAATCCAAGCTTAAAATTTTAAATCAATGTTTCTTTAAAGACAATATAAATATATTTTGATATAATATAAATATATGTTATTTGTAGTCTACATTTAAATATATAGAGAGAGAATGATCAGTAAACACGTGACAGAAGTTTCATCACTAATAAGAAAATACAAATGAGAAATACATTGAGCTACCTGTATAGCTGTAATTTAAAAAGGAACAGGTGGTGGTGTCACATGCCTTTAATCCCAGCACTTGGGAGGGAGAGGCCAGCAAAAACAACAACAACAAAAAAAAACAGTGACAGCTGTTGGTGAGAATGTGGAAAAACTGGGACCATCTTGTGCTGGACTTGAAAACAGGCAGTTTCTTAAAAATTGTAAAGTTACCATGCAACAAGGCGCTTCTGCCCCTAAAAAATTTACCCCAGATAAATGGATACCTACCCTCCAGAATAACTTAAATATGATTGTTCATTGAAGCATTTGCTCTCCGCAGCCAAAAGTAGAAACAACCCTAGTAAGTTCATAAATGATTCAGTGTCAAAAATAAATAAGTTCAGTGAGAAAATTAGACAAAGTACTGTACTATTAGTAATAATATCCAGCGGTAAGAACTCTCTAGATAGCAGATCCACGGTGCCCAGGAGTAGCTTGGCATAGGCATTAACTAAAAACGAGCTCCAGGGAACTATGGGGGTGCTGAAAAGCTCTACAACAACATGGTGGCATTGGTTACACAGCTCTCAGTTTCCGTTTACTAAGGATCATTGGCTTTCAACACTTAAAAGCCTTTTATACTGATTATATTACAGGAAGTGATTTTCTCTAATAATAATTCTCTAATAATAGTAATTCTTAGATGCTGGCTCAGGTTTTATGTTTAAGAAAAAGTGTAAATGTAAACTCACATAGTTCACATAACTTAAGTCTGCCTGGTTAAAAGATATCTTCAGGCCAGGTGGTGGTGGCGCACACCTTTAGTCCCAGCACTCGGGAGGCAGAGGCAGGTGGATCTCTGTGAGTTCGAGGCCAGCCTGGTCTACAAAGGGAGTTCCAGGACAGGCTCCAAAGCTACAGAGAAACCCTGTCTCGTGGGGAAAAAAATAAATATATTCATATGTCATTCATTTTTCATGTCCACGTAGATTCTGAGGTCCCACACTCTGGCCTCTCATTCTCTCTTTTTTAAAGCAACCTTCATTATGATCATCAACAGCCCCCTTTCTATTGGCTACCAGCTGTAGTGTCCCTGGAGAGCATCTTATTTTCTCTCTCCTTAAAGGCAGTAAGCTGCCCTTTTTGAGACAATTCAAGGTAAAGTGTCACAAATAATAAAAATGTGTTTGCCTTGGGGATGGTAGAGGGTTTGCTTACTTTTCTCTGCTTTCTTACCTTCTAGGCTCTGGATTACTGCCACAGCAAGGGAATCATGCACAGGGATGTGAAACCTCACAATGTCATGATAGATCACCAACAAAAAAAGGTACCAGTCTAGCCAGGTAGCACCATATCTTTGCTGAAGGCTTGGGGAAACCTCAGCCTTGTCCAGTAGCACTGTGGTGTCTGTAGAGCGTACATTTCTTCAGTAGGCTGAGTTGCTGTGACTTCTCTAGTCTCCAGGAAGTACATGTGACCTTGGCTATGGTCACTGGTTTTATTTTGGTTTTTGTGTTCAGAGGACCTCAGGAACAAACTATAGTAGTAGTTTCTGCTTTGCTTTTTAGTGACCATTAGACCAACCCTACTGTCCCTAAAAAGTACACTTGGGTCTCTCCAACTCTGGTTGTTTTAGCCCGTGTTAGCTTAATGACCAAATAGAGCAGTTCCAGAGTGGGGCATGCACTTGAGTCCTTCAGTAGTGCCTGAGGCTTTAGAGCTGTGAATGATGGGAAATGTGTTCCACATGAAAGGAGCATGGAGACTGAAAAAAGGCTGAGTGCTTTTGATTTGTAGAGTAAAAAACCAGGATAACTATAAAAGGGGAAAAACTCAGAATATTCTAAGTACTCTACTCCAGAAATGACCTCATCTACAGTTTCTGAAGTAGACTTCATGGGTACGCTACGTGTGGCCGAATACCTGTAGCAGAGATGTGGTGTGGCATCCTCAGGTATGGGTGGGCATCTGGAAGTGCACCTCTCGCATTGTTTGGTCTTTCTCATAGCTCCGATTGATTGACTGGGGTCTGGCGGAATTCTATCATCCTGCTCAGGAGTACAATGTTCGCGTGGCCTCGAGGTACTTCAAGGGACCAGAGCTCCTTGTGGACTATCAGGTGAATGTGTCAGTGAAGCTGCTCTGAGCTATCTTTATATTCTCTTAAGGATTTTCCTGATTGCTGTGTAGTCAGTTGTTTATTATTATACTCTAAAGGTTTTTCTCAGCTACATTAACAAAGAATTTATTATTTTTTATGTGTGTATGTGTATGTATGAGCATACTTGTAACTATAGCCCTCGTGGGAAGGTCAGAAGACAAACTCGCAGGAGTTTGTGATCTCCGCCATATTGGTTCTTATAACCAAACTTATGTTAGAGGCTTGACAGCCTTTTACTAAATCTCTTGCTGGCTTTTTTCTTCTTAATCTTAAGGGAAAGGGGTGACTTTTAGTTCTAAAGTAACTGCAGAAAAGCTGAGGATGGAGCTTAGTAGTAGATACTTGTCTAGTATGGATAAGGCTGTAGTGCCTCAAAAGCAAGGGCTAATCTTTAGATGTCAGATGAGTATGAGAAACTCGAGTTGATACATTGTTGACTTCATGACATTCTGCCTTCAGATGTATGATTACAGCTTGGACATGTGGAGCTTGGGCTGTATGTTAGCAAGCATGATATTCCGAAAGGAGCCATTCTTCCATGGGCAGGACAACTACGACCAGGTGAGCAGCTTCAGCCCTTGCTGGTTTGTCACAAATGCTAGGGAAATAGCCTCTGGGGCAGGAATGAGGTATGGAGTGTTGCTCAGTGCACATGGGCTCTGTAAGCTAACGAATAATTATATGTAGGTAGGCATAAGGGCCCCGACCATGCAGAGACAGCTAATGCTGTCTGTGGTGAAAGTTAAAGATGGCTCTAAGAAATAACGCAGCTCTTTGTCTGACAAAAACAGATTCTAGTTGTTGATCAGTGTCCCCAAAGATATTAGCATCTAAATTATGTTAACCCTTTAAAAGCAGTTTAGAATCTTGCATTCATGTGAGCTTTGTGTCCTTAAGTCTCTTTGTTTATTCTAGGCTGGGGTCTCTGTTGGGTCCGTAGAGATTTGGGTAGTGTGGAATTTCCTAATTCCCAGACCCAGCACAGTGTCCTGGCAAGTTCATGGGAAGCTTTGTGCTTGGTGGTTTGGTTCAGTGTGTTCTGTGTTTCAGCTTGTTCGAATTGCCAAGGTTCTGGGGACAGATGAACTGTATGGGTATCTGAAGAAGTACCACATAGACCTAGATCCACACTTCAATGATATCTTGGGACAGTAAGTAAAAAAGGGAAGAGAGAGGGTAAGGGAGGGAGCAAGCATTGCTCTATTTCTGAAGTGGGAATATTACACAAAATCCAATTTCTCATTTATCCAATTTATTTATTGAGGTTGAGTCTCACTTCTGTGTAGACCAGAGCTAGTTTTGAACTCACAGATATCTACCAACCATTGCCTCGCTTTGTTACCACCAGGCCTTACAGTTGATGAAAAAATAAGGCAGAAGAATAATGCTTAATCAGATGCAGATGTTTTAAATAGACTGAGCAGTTTCATGTCAGCATGCCGTGGTTATACGGGGGCACCAGGCTGTACCTACACCAGCCTGTTCTGAAGTAGGTACTGAGAAGAATGAGCTTCAGCTGCTTCACAGAGTGCAGCATTCTAAGGGTTGGTTTGTGTTAGGTCTATTAGAGGAGGTTTTTCTTGTATTTAGTCTCAGACTATTAATGATACACTTTTTGTAGGCATTCACGGAAGCGTTGGGAAAACTTTATCCATAGTGAGAACAGACACCTTGTCAGCCCTGAGGCCCTAGATCTTCTCGACAAGCTCCTGCGGTACGACCATCAACAGAGACTGACTGCCAAAGAGGCCATGGAGCACCCATACTTCTGTGAGTGTCTCCCTTTATCTTTGGTGTCAGTCAGAAAACTAGATATTTGGATTAGATCAACCTAGGAATTTGGCTTCAAATCGTTATCCTAGATCACTGAGAGCAATTTACAGGTGATTTTTATTAGTTCCTGGAGGTGTTTGCTTAATTCACTGTTAGTAATACCCCTGAGGCAATGCTGTCTACCCATTCCCATCATTCTGGCCTTGTATACTGAGGTATCTAAGATTCTTGTTTGTTTTAGAGACAGGGTGTCTCTGTAACTTTGGGACCTGCCCTGGAACTCAGTTTGTAGACCATGCTGACCTTGAACTCAATGAGGTCCTTCTGTTTCTACCTTCTGAGTGCTGGGATTAAAGTGTGACAGCACTGCCTGGCAAGATTTTCTTTTCCAAGTGTGAAAATATAATCAAAGATTATTTTTTTTCCCTTTAAAGAAATAAGTTAAAAATAGGAAGATCAGCTGGGTGGTGGTGATGCACACCTTTAACCCCAGCACTTAGGCAGAGGCAGGTGAATCTCTGAGTTCGAGATCAGCCTGGTTTACAGAACAATTTCCAAGACATCCAAGGCTACACAGTGAAACCCTGTCTCAAAACAAAGCAAACAGACAAAAAGGCAGTGGGATGACACTAATGGTTTCTAAAGGAAGCAGTATGTGAATAAGAGCAACCTGAAGTGAGCGCCAGGCTCTGACATTTCCCACAGCATGTGGCCTCTTGCACTTGCTTGTGGTTTGAGTACATCTTTCCGTGTGGGGGCAGAGGTGGTTCAGTCTAGTCAGTCATGGAAGGGGCTGTTCTTTGACCCCTTTGTGCGCTTTTCCTGTCCTTTTTTCCTTTGGAATTTAGCTAATTTCTAGTAATTGTAATGAGTATGAAGGACTTACTATGGTCTTAAACCTAGGACAGAAATTTAAAGCAACAAGAAGTTGAAAGGGTCTTCTCTTTCAGCCTTCTGAGCTCTGGACTGCTGACATTCCATCGTCTGCTTTCTCATTTCAATCACAAAGCTGTTTTTACTCTTCAAGGTAGACCACCTTCAGGATACTAGTGTCGCCTGGCGTAGTGGCACACACCTTTAAGCCAAGCACTTAGAGGCAGTCAGTGGGATACATAATAAAACTCAGTCTTAAAACAACAAATAGCCAGGTGTGGTGATACACACCTAAAGATTGGTGTCCAGCCTGGACTACAGAGTGAGTTCCCTGAGAGCTTGGGCTACCCTGTCTGAAAAAAACAAGCAAACAAACAAATACAATAAAATAAAAAGCAGTACTGGTATAAACCCATGAGGCAAATGCATACGGATTGCAAATTTGAAGCAATCTAGTATATATAGTTAGACCCTGTCTCTGAAATAATAACAAAAACAACCTGATATTTCAGATAATTGTTTGATTGCTTTTCTAAATAAATTGAGTATTTCTCTCTGCTTAAAATTGATAGACTGCCACAGGCTCTTTTACTCACCCTTTTTATAAGGTGCTCATTGTACATGCTTTAAAGAATTTAAAGGCTAGGTATTATGTTGGTACGTAAAGAAGAAATGACAAGAAATTGGTGGCTAAGTTAGGGTCGCTGTGCCTTTCAGCAGCCAGGTCTGTATTCTTTTTTTTGGTTTTTCGAGACAGGGTTTCTCTGTGGTTTTGGAGCCTATCCCGGAACTAGCTCTTGTAGACCAGGCTGGTCTCGAACTCACAGAGATCCGCCTGCCTCTGCCTCCCCGAGTGCTGGGATTAAAGGCGTGCGCCACCACCGCCCGGCAGCCAGGTCTCTATTCTAAGGAAGTAGAATGACCTCCACATAATTCCCCACTGGGCATGACCACTACCCTGACTGAGCTGCAGCCTAAGGCTGAGTTTAGTGTTAATTTGAGCAACAAATAAAATTTTCAGAAGTAGTTGAGACTATGACTTAGTAGAAGATTGCCTAGCAAGCATGAGACTGGGTGCTATTCCTTGCCTTGAGGACAAAAAGAAAAGGAGTCCGTTCCTGATCCTGGTGCCTGGTCCTTGTGTGACCTGAGTTCCTCATAAATGTCTGGGTTGGTGCATATAGAATAGGAAAGGCGGGTGCTGACGTGTGGACCTGTGCTCCTCTCTTGCAGACCCTGTAGTGAAGGAGCAGTCCCAGCCTTGCCCAGAGAACGCCGTGCTTTCCAGTGGCCTCACCGCAGCACGATGAAGCCTGGAGAATCGACGGTAATGCGGCACTGATGCTTGCCAATAAAACCAACAACCAAACAAAAACTTGAAGGAAACTACAGTGTGATAAAAAGAAATTCTAATCATTCCTTCTAAAGGCAAAGAAGAGTAAAGACCTAAAGCCTGTCAAAAGCAAGAAACTCCCCAGTACTAGTCTGCAGGGATCTGCGTTGTTCAGTGTGGCAGCGCATAGTGCAGGATCTGAGGGACTCTCCCTTTGGAATGCATGGGAGATGAGACGCTCGGAGTTGTTGTGCACGTACCTGCGTTTAACAGGATACCACTGTTGAATTAACCCGTTCGGTCAACAAGCTCTGAATATCTGACTTCCTATCTATTCCATTGTGGTCTGGTTTTCTTTTGTGAGAATTCAGGCTCAAGTTTTAGCAAAAGTCAGCAGTCTGTTCTGACACACCAGCCTCATTTACAAAAGAAAAAAAAGAAAGAAAAGAAAAAAAGATTAAAACAGTGACAGTATTTTTTTTAAGCTCTTTTACAAATTCATGTGTTATGTATTTTTTTATGACATGAGCTCTCCAGGAAATGTACCTCATTCCTGCAGTTTTCTTCTAAGTCTATCCATTTGGAGGCAAACTGCGGTCACTCTCACCACGTCCTCTATAGTGTCAGAAGAAGGCACTATAAATCTTGACATGCCATGAACAGGTCCCAGGTGCATTAGAAGTTCCATGCTGTGTGCATAACTTGGGGCTCACCTTTATGGATTTGCCTAACTGTTGAATCTTGTTTCTTTTTTGAGTTTTCCCCCTGCCTTGTAAGGAAAACCTCACCATTTCTCAGCACAGCTTTGTGCAGGCACCTCCTTTAATGTACCACTCTAAAACAAAGACTACTTTTGTTCACAACCATGGCTGCAGCTGCAAAGCTAGTCTTCAGGCAGGTCAAGGAGGGAGGGAAATTTTCTATTAGGATTCATTCAGGAAAGACGTCACATGTACAAAAGGCATAGCCCTCCACCTTCCCTCTTTTTAATCCTGTGACAAACAGGTCTGGCTGCAATCGGGGTAATGGCATTTACAGCTCTGATAGGTCATACATGAATGTAATGGCAAAGAAGTCTGGCATGCAGGCGCTTGCTTGTGGGCAAGGTTGTCCCATGACTCCTGCAACTGGCTGAAGCAGGATGACCAGGGCTGGGGGGAGGAACTGGGGCTCCTGGAGCGAGTGTCAAAGCTTTATAGATCCACTGTGCTAACCTCCTGTTAGCAGAAAGAGGTAGATTTTGTTTGTTTTTTGTTTTTTATAGGGCTGATTTCATTTGGGGGACTGGTCACTGACATGGTTTGTCACCTAGTCCCCTCTCCTTGGCTGCGGAGCTATGCCCTCAGCTCTGGAGACCTAACATGTTTGGGGTATAAACCACATCACACTTAGGGTTTCTTCATTAACTATTTAATAATGCCATACATTTTTATAAGGTTAGATTGTTTGTTTGAAACATCTGTTTACATTCCAAATTCCAATAAACTTGTATTGGTATTGGTAGCAGGTCCATCTCTAAATGAAGATTCTATTTTGTCGTTTGGTCTGTGAGAACTTAAAAGGCAAATTAACACTTTTCTTGATAGTATGGAATTGAGTTTATAGGTTAAAAAGTAAGATTCTGGGCCAGTGACATGGCAGGTAAAGGCATTTGCTGCAAAGACTGATGCCCAGAGTTCAGTCCCTGAAATCTACACGGTGAAGGGGAGAGCCTGCTCCCACAAGCTGTCTTCTTCCCACACTTGTGCTGTGGCATGTAAACACACACAATAAATAAAGTTTTAAAATCTTCTTTAAGATCCTTTATGAAGCCAAAGCATTGCCGTGCAGTTAAGACTTTCATCCAGATCTGCCTCCTTGCATCAGCTTCTGTGTACCGATGTGCTATACATTTGTTCTTCCTGATTTGGCAACATGACATGGACGCCACTGAACCTGGGTTAACATGTCAGGCAGCAAACCTCAAGTGTTGGGAATACTATGGGATTTCTCGTGCGCCCTTTGGTTGTCCAGGGAATGTGTTACCGTATGTTTTTCCTGTTTTCTAACTTCATCGCCTTGATTACCCATGCTTCTCTTCTCCCTTTAAATTGTTCAAGAGTCTGTTGGGGGGGACTCAATTGAGCAGTAACCCCACCTCTTTGTCCTGGGTCCTCCAGAGATAGTGAAAACTTCTGTGAGAAGAGTTGGCCATGTTCCCCTGACCCTCCTCTTTGGCGTGCTCTAGGAGAGAGGTCCTTGAGTGATAGCTCAGTGGGGCGTGTCCTTTGTATGCAGCAGTGCCTGTATTTTACCTCTCTTCCCCCTTACTGTGGAACATCCTTGGGCTTAATGCTTGCTCTCTCTGGATCTGCACTCTGCCTAGTTTCCCAAGTTGTAGTGAATCTAGTAGCCCTCTCACCTGTCTCCAAACTTATCTTGATCCAGGGGTACCTGGGTCCAGCCCCTAGAGTTTGGAGAGTTTTAAAGTGTGTGTGTGTGTCTGTGTGTCTGTGTGTGTGTGTGCGCGCGCGCATGAGAGAGAGAGTTACATTCAGACTAAACTGGTCAATTTACCCACTCAGTATCCTTCACATGAATACATACATCTTAAACTCATCTCAGTAATTTTCTTTTGTTTCATTACCTTATAACAAGTTAAAAGTGCCTATGACAAGGACTTAATTATTTCCTAATGAAAAGCAAAAACACAACAAACAGTGGGGAACAGGGTAGTGTTGCACTGTCATCTCAGGTACTGCCTGTGTTCAAGACCGGCACCTGGTGCGCTGAGAAGAGGCTCCAGCCCCAGGGCTGACTCCAGCTCACTGTCTCCTTGGTATCCACAAGGAGTGTGACCTCAAGGTTGCCTGGGCTGAGAAAGCCATGCTGAGAATGCTACTAAGAAGTGTGTTGGTGGCGGTTTGTTCTTTTCGGCCACCACTCATTTGAACCCGGCTCCTGTCCCTGTTGTGGGTGGCTGGGTAGAAGCTATTGCATGTGTAAAGAGAGCGTGTGTTCCTGAGGCCTGGTATGGAACAGAGTGCCCTGCCAGACCTCCTCGTGAACCTTCTCTTAACATGTCCATGCCCACCTGGCTTAGGGCACATGGGTCCTCTCACAGAAAAGAAAGCAATCTCAGGCTGACTGCTGAGAGAAAGGAGCTGGGGGTCCCAGAGGCTTAGGGAGGTGGCTGGGTGGTGGGGTGCAGGTGAAAGAAAAGGATCCAGTAAGAAAAATATAAAGGTGAGCTTTGAACAGCTCATACTTCCTGAGAATGAAACTAGGGGTCACTAAGCTCCTGTGACAAATGTGCCGGGAGAGGATACTGCCCCTGGCTTGGGTCCAATGGCCCTTGAGAGGTGGTTGCTAGGGGCTTTGGGCTGTACCTACTCAGGGAAACAACCTAGGTTCTCCAGGATCATGGCTGCTATGTCAGCACAGCTTCGGGACAGGAACAATGGGAAGAATTCATGTGTATTGGGGTCAGTGTAGGAGTGTTTCCTTTAATGTCAGTTTAGATTCCCAGACACTCAGAAGGAAGGGCAGTCTCCCTCTTGCACATGAGTGGATAAGAGCTGCGGGGAGAGGTGCTTGCAGAATGCCATCCCTTCTGAAAGCAAAAGCAAGCAGATCTTGTGAGTTTGCCGGGGAGTTTAAAAAATTAAAACTGGTGTGTCCTGCCTTTAAAACACAAATTCCAGTGTATGGATGATGAGAAGGGAGGTGGCTAGGAGCCCTTGCTTTTGCGCTGGGGGGTGGCGATCTTTGTCATAGAAGCTGGCAAGATTGGATTATGCAACTGATGCATACTTTTGTGTCAATACTCAACAATGTGCTACAAATGTGACACTTAACCCTGAACTGCATGTATTGGGGATTTTAAAAAGAAAAACAAAAAATACAAACAAACTTTGAATCAATAAATTTAAGTTTTTCACTTGCTGGCTCTTCTTGCTGTAAATGGTGACTAAGTTTGGGGCAGAAATCTTGCTATCCAGTCGGGCGGTGGTGGCGCACGCCTTTAATCCCAGCACTTGGGAGGCAGAGGCAGGCGGATCTCTATGAGTTCGAGACCAGCCTCGTCTACAGAGCTAGTTCCAGGACAGGCTCCAAAGCCGCAGAGAAACCCTGTCTCAAAAAAAAAAAAAAAAAGAAAGAAAGAAAGAAAAAAGAAATCTTGCTATCCAGCGGCAAGTTTGGATGATCTTGAAGAACCAAGGAGCCTTCTGCTTGCAGGAAGACAGCGCTGCCTGTGTTGTTGGTGATTCTTCCACGTGAACACTGCAGCCCCAGTTCCACGGTGTAGCCCTAGATGACTGACATGGGCTGCCATGTCAACAATGAATGCCTGATCTTCCCAACTAGGAGACAAACAGTTGCTGGGACCTTAGCTTGCCTTCCCTGTCTTGGAGGGGGAAGCACCAGCATACACTAGGAGCTTTGAAGACATACTTGGTGGCTGAGGCCATCAGTTTGCTGTTAGCAGTGGGACTGGAGTGTTGTAGATTTGTTCTCTAGTTTCTCAGTGGCATCACTCAAGGCCCCTGCTTCTCAGGACTGACTGGCTTTGTTACCTGACTTTAACTTTGGGACCCCGGCTTGGGTATTTGTGAAAATCTCTCCCTACCACTCCTTGTGGGCCTGTACCATCATTTGGCTGGTGGTAGGGGTCTTGCATGGTTGTGCTTTTATCCCTGACTGATCGCTCTGGATTGGAACCTGGGACAAAAGCTGAAGAGCTTGGGTGGAATGTAATTTCTTAACATGCATGGGCAGCTTTTCTCACCTGTAGAGCAGGAGAAACTTTCCCCCAAGGGAAGTTTCCACAGAGTGACTGAGAGCTTACTGGCTGCTTCATTGTGGTCTGTAGAAGCTAGTCACCGACTTTACCATGATGGCTATGAAAGGCCATCCCAGACAGCTAGCTGCTTGCAGAGGCAGGTTGGCAATCATTTGAGCCCGCCCACTGTCCTCCAATGAGTGGATTCAGCCCTTTCCCGGAATAAATACCAAGACTTCAGCTTCCTAGGCTCGGTACCCTCAGAAAGCGTGTCAGGTCTGAGCCCCTGGAGCTGGACCTCCTGTCTGACTTATGGGACGGTCACTAGGCATTTGCATCAGCACCTGAACTTGAAGAATAGGGCAAGAGACATGACCAGACATAATGTGGCCAGAGTTCCTCTCCAGAAGGCAGGCCAATGACTGCCTCTAGAGTATCAAAGAGCAGGAAGAGGACACTCAGGCCTGTGCTCGTGCAGCCGGTGTCCCATCGAGTGGAAAAGACAAGTTTGTGCCCTGTCCCAGGTGGCCTGCCTCTCAATCTGGCTCTGATTGATTAATGCCCTCTTTCCCCTCCTCCCATCTCTCCCCAGGTCTGTTGCGGTTCCTCATACTTTTCCATAAGAACAAGAGCAAAATCAAACGTCTTAACGCGTGTAGCGAGATCACGTCCCGAGAGCAGACACACAATGGTGGCAGGCTTGGCGAGCACGAACTAGACCACCTGAAGGGCAGCCCACCACCGTAAATCAGACCTCACTTCCGAATGTAAAAGGTTCACATGCCTTTGGCTTCCTGTTGACTTCCTCCCGACCCAGAAAGCATGGGAAATGTGAAGGGTATGCAAAAATGGTTGTTGGTTACTGTTGCTCCCCGTGCCCTTGGCCCGTCCCATGGCTGCCTGTTGCTCCAGCAGATCCCAAGGACTAGCTGACCACAGACTCCACAGACGGGATGGCGGCAGTGTATGGCATGATGGGCAGTTACATATTATTATTTTAAAAGTATATATTATTGAATAAAATGTTTTAAAAGAAGTGGATGTAGAGTTTTTAGTATGGAAGGGGCCATTGGCCAAAACCAGAGAGGGCAATGACCAGCCCCTAAGTAGAGGGAAGCAGGGCGGGCAGGGCCTGTGTCAGGCAGAGTGGCGTGAGCAGCCTGGGTCGCTGCATAGGCCGGAAGAGCTGGGCCTTGCCTTGATGCATTCCCTGTAGTTCACTCTCACCTCTGCCACAGGAGTGGCTCAGCATGGCCTCCATGGTGATTTCAGGAAGAGGCTGTAAGTCACCGTTTGCTGTTTCTTTAGAGCTCATGCCTCAACATTTTTTTTTTTTTTTTTTCTGAGACAGGGTTCCTTTCTCTGGCTGTCCTGGAACTAGCCTCTTGTAGACCAGGCTGTCTGGCCTCAACCTCACAGAGATCCGCCCACCTCTGCCTCTCCAGTGCTGGGATTAAAGGCCTGTGCCACCACTACTACTATGCCTCAACATTTTATTCTGTCACTCAGTCACACCCACTTCCTTCTGAAGAAATGCTTCAAGTCTTAGAGGCAGATTGAATCTGCTATCCAATGGGAGGGAGGGGATGAAGGCCAAAGATGTTTTTCATCCTGTCTTGGGACCACCCCCCCCCCAGGAAAGGTAGGGAAAGCATGTGTGCCCGTGCACACACAGAGACTTCACATACACACACAAACACACACACATACACCAGGGCTTCAGTGGAAGCAGCCATTAACAGGAAACAAAGCCAGTTTAGAGTGCTCTTTCCTCTCCACTGATCCTAGAACAGCTGTGCGGGGACGGGGGAGGGGGGAGGGGAGTAAACACAAGTGAACACAGCTGGGGTTTGTGACCAACCTCTGGCCACTAATCATTCTCACACTGCCTGTAGAGCTCAGAGACATGGCAGTTTGAAGCAGGCAGTAGGCTGGGATGTAGGCTTGCTCTTCACAAGGGCCACTTTCTCTACACCCTTCTGCCTCTTGTTTTGAGTGGCCGTGTGAATCCAAGTGTGAACACTCACAG